TTTTGAGATAGACATCATTTATTTAAGATTTCTTAGATAGGATATGTAAGAAATCATGATGTTTAGTTTTTAGCCAAATTATTAATTTGGTTCATATACTATTTTAAAATATTTAAATTAGTTTCTATATTTTTTTTTTATATTCTAATCCCTATACTTTTAAATAATTTTTATTTTAATATCTAATGCTAAAAGTGCTAATGAAGGCACTACAAAAACCTAAGTTATACAGATGTCACATCTCGATTGGGTTCATCTATGTTATATATCATGTGTTTGATGACATGATATCAACTTAAATCGGTAGTGCAAGCCCTACTGATGTTCTGCATGGAGGTCATTCACATATTAATACTTCTATGTGAAGAGCTTCAGCACATGATGAACAACTTTTGGTGGGTGTAAAATCGAATAGACAAAGGAATTTTCCTTGGTTATCGTGGAAGTCGATGTGTAAGACTAAAGCTGAGGGAGGGATGGGTTTCCATCACCTGTAGGAATTTAACTTCGCCCTGTTTGGCAAATAGTGCTGGTGGATCTTTAGCAATCTAAACACCCTGATTTTACGAACTTACAAAGCTAGATATTTCCCTCAAGAGGATATGTTAACTGCTGAGTTGGGATTCAACCTCAATTTCACATGGAGGGGGCTATGTGCTGCTGGCATGCTGGAAATGGATTATAGGTATTGGTTAGCATATATGTAACACCCCGAACCTTTGCACTTTAATGTATGGTTAAACTTTATTTTAATTGAAAGTTAATTTTTTGGTATTTTAATGATTAACTTTTCCGCAATTTAAATTTTATCATATTATGTTTAAAAAATTAGTATTTTATTTGAATTTTATTTATTTTAATAATTATTTTAGTATTGTCAAGAAAATTAGGAAAAATAGAAGAAAAATCGAAAAAATGGGGAAAATCCCCAAAAGCCCACGGAAGTGACCGTGGGACTGCGCGTAGTCACCTCACATGGGGAAACCCACGTGTCAGCCGCACCAGTGCGCGCGCACAACGTGACAAGACATGCCTGCGTGCGCACAACCCGCAACATTGTTGCTTTGTGCATGCAGTTGCGAGCTGACAGTCGCACGCAGACGTGATAACCTACTGTTATGTCCCATCCAAGCATGGTATCCCATGCCATGCAGGTCTTACCACTAGCCATTCTCCCCTCAACCACTCGCCACATGTACTGTCAAATTTATGCCACATGGTGAACATTCATAGCCCTCTAAAATCTATTTAAAGCTCCCTTTCTTTTCATCATTTGCACACATGTCTACTTTTTCTTTCTTTTCCACCATTTTTCTTCTCGCATTATTAGACTTTTTAGAGAGAGAAAAGAGTGAAGGTTAGAGAGTGAAATAAGCAAGAAAGAAGGAGAAAAAATAGGAGTTTAGGGAGCTTGACCAAGGAATACTAATGGTCCTTCTTTTTCTTTCTTAAAGACTAATTCAACTTGGTTTCAGTAAGAGATTCTTTAAATTTTCTCTTATATTTTTTACTGCACTTTTTAGATAAATATATTTGGATATTGCTTGACTTGATGCATGAATTGCTATCTTTGTTGATTCTCAGTTTATTTGAATATGAAATGTGAGTTGATATGCATGAGGGTTATAAACTATGACTCTGAAACACATGTGGGATTTGCCCTTTACCTTACCTTTGATAATGACAAAAAGGGTTATTATAGGAACGTCGACTCTGAGGAATATCCCAATGGTCAAGTCTAGGTAATATAGGCCATGTGTCAGATACATTAATGGACCCCTATCGGGTTCTGGATATGTGATCATGAATATGGGCCTTGGGCTAGATATGTTATTAAACCCCACCTGGTTCGAAGCGTATAATTGATATGGATACTGAATAAACAAGTGAAAAGAATAAAAATTTGTTTGACTGTTATCTCTGAGGGCTTTCTTTTTCTCTTTACTCTATTATCTGAAAGGATTGGTGAACTACTCCCTATGAATGATGGCATTCCCTTTGATGAGAGTGGATTCATGATTGCACCTGTAGGAGCCACAGTGGCGAAGTACTGCTATGGTAATTAGATTATATCCGAAATGGATATAGAAACAGAATTGGCATTCCCTCTTATGAGGGTGGATTCGCGATGGTATATAGGGCCACAGTGACGACGTACGACCGTGGTCATTAGTTTATACCTATATGAAATAAAAATTGATTGTCATTCATAGTGGTAGTCGGGGATTGTTCCGCCCTCAACAGATATATGTTTTGAATGGTTTCGCGCGAAGATTGGTAAAAAACTTAAATAAAACATGGTCATGATACTTGGTATTCTAAGATGATTTTATATGATGGCTCTTCAGCTTATTATGAGACTATTAAATATTCTATTTATTTGGTTCCTATTAAATATCTTATATGTTCTGATATGCTTAATGTGACTTAATAAACATGCTTATAACATTTATTATTTTCCATCTCTACTTGGTTTTATAATTTGTTCACTAGATTTTCTAAAGAAATGCAAAATGGGTTTTCTAAATACTTAAATATATTCATCCTATGACAGTCCTCTGAGGTAAGAGATTAATATGGAAATGTTGTTCAGGCCAATTTTTTTTTAAATGTTAGATGTGTGGTTTAAATACTATTTCTCTTATTGAGTTTTATGGAACTCACTCCCTTCCATGCCCCTTCCCCCTAAATGATGTAGAAGTTGAGGAACTGCTCCCTGAGTTGCCCTTTGAAGCTTGTCTGGACCTATTCACGGATCTTTAGTAAATCTTTAGGACATAATTCGAGTGCAAAAGTTTAATTAGCACTATGATGTAGTTATTTTATAAGAACTTTATTTTGTATTTTGACACTTAGGTTTGTTAATTTTATGACTTGATGTAAATATTGAACCTAGAACACTTTGTAAGGAATTTCTATTTTTTGGTTTGATGATAAACTTATTATTAGTACTTGTAACTACTTTTAGTTGGCTCCTTTTTACTTTTTAAGCATTTGGGATGTTACAATTGGTATTATAGCAGGATCCTAGGAAAATTCTTTACACGTAGGTTTATTGTTTAGATTAAGAACAGCTTTAATGAAATTTTTAGAATGAGAAATAACATTTTATTTATAGTCATCCATTTGTTGTCTTTTTTTTGTAGGAATTAAATTACTCAAGGTAGACCTTTTATAGAAAGACCTAAGGTCCAAGATGCTCCAACCTGGGCTGAGTTTATCGAGCTATTCCGAGCCACTTAGGGACTGATCGTTGCTATAGGTCAAAACCAGCGCCAACTACCCCTTGCTCCCGACTTTCATTCAATAGACATATCCATTTCCTAGAACATCTATGAGTTTTGGAGACTAAAATCTTTTTTCTTTGATGGTAGACATGATCCTTTAGCTATAGAAACCTAGATTATATAGATAGAATAATTTTTCCCTATCATGTACCTGACCAAGGAACAGAAGGTTCCTTTAGTTATTTTTATGTTTACAAGTGAAACTGAGCATTGGTGGCGGCTCAAGAAGGATATTTTGTTGACACCCACCACCTGAGATATTTTTATGGATGTTTTTCTAGATAACTTATACCCAGCTTATGTTCAAGAGAAGAAGGATGAGAAATTCCTAGACCTCTATTAGGAAAATATCTTTGTCAACTAGTATGCTATTCGTTTTGCCCAGTTGTCCTATTTGCCCTTATGTTAATGGCCACTGAGAGTCGAAAGGCTCGAAACTTTTGAAGGGTCTAAGGGCTGACATTTTTGACTGTGTTGCCATTCCGAAGCCTAGCTCTTATGTTGAGCCCTTTGAGCATGCCCAACTGATTGAGGATCTCAATTTGGCTTGACATCAGTGCATTACCCACATCCGTGCCCAGCAACAACAGAAGAGAAAATTTTTTACCCTAGCCCTGGCCATATTGAGAAGGGGCCCCATGTTGAACCTACTTCTGCTTTACCGCCACCTTCTAGTAAACCCTTTCTGCCTACCTAGTCATGTAGACATTGTGGGAGAAACCATGGTGACTGATGCTGTCATCGCTTGAACAATGCATGTTATAAGTATAGCAGCACTCAACACTTTGTGAGGGATTGCCCTCAAAAGCCCTGTGATGTTGTGAGGCCTATCACACAAACAGTCTTTCATCTTGATGAGCCTGGTGTGAGAGCTACCCTAGCCATCATCCAGGGTACACTTTCTATTCATAATTCTACCATCCATGCCTTGATTGATACTGATGCCACTCATTCTTTTGTGTCTTATGAATTTATGAAGAATTTATGAATTAAACCATAACCCTTAGGAGAATTTATGAATTAAACCATATCCCTTAGGGCAAGTGTTAGAAGTAAAAACACCTCTAAAGTACGTTTAGAAGCACATGTATATAAAATTTGCTAAGTGAGTATTTGAGGTAGGGAGTCAACTGTAGATCTTATACTTTTAGACTTCTTAGGATTCAATATAATCTTAGGGATGGATTGGTTAGATAACTCTCAAGTGATTATTGACTGTGATAACAAAAGTGTAACTTTATACTTGCCCAAATAAAAACACTCTTAACGATCAAAATAAAACCTTGTTTTGTAAATTAATGTTTCTTGAAAACATTTTAAGACTATATAACAAGGAGGATGAATCCTGAACCATTAATTCA